TGACTGTAGACTGTATGAATTTCAAGAAAGTTATAACTGCAAAAATAAAGAAAAAATATAACTGGTAAAATGCCGTTAAAGAAGAAATTAATCAGTGTTCATATCGAGGCCCACTTCAGCGAGAGATATTCTTATCCGTAGCAGTGTGGAGGAGTAGCGGACGGTGACAGGATTAATTGACTTGGGTAACGCAGAGAAGGATATTATAGAGGGAAAGAATCATCACATGGTATAGTATACTGTGCTATGTAGACAGAGCCGGCTACAGAATGCAGCAAAGAGTCGCTTCCATGTTCCGCAAAGTATATTATCACATAACATGATACAACTAGTCATGCCAAACAACAAATCGTCATGATATGTTTTACGCAGCGAGCTAGGACTAGTCGTCAGCGGTCAAACTTCGAGTCGAACTTAATCTAGTCATATGTCTGTATCGAACCTAGCAGCATCTACCATGCATCTTGTCGTTTTATCTCAACATTACTCATCGTCGCTAAACAGGCGAATTATTGGGCGTGCGCTTATCAAAGTGCGCTTATTCTGAGCGGAGCGATGAAAATTGGTTGCAAATCATTCGCTGTGCGCAAGATCCGCCGAAACGCCTGTCATATTACATAGTTGGGTGATTCCTTCCACAGTCCCCGTTAATGTTCAAGAACTCGTTTCAATCGGGCTTCCTATCGGTCCTGTACTCGGTGGGCAGTAAGCCCCTCCAGATTTGGGCTGATCAAGTTAGGAATGGTCACATCAAACGCCTCACCGATTCGGATATACAATCAAGTGTAGGTTAACGGGCATCAGGCAAACGTTGAAATGCCCTTTTCAGGTGTTGGAGATCATGGGGACGAATGTCGCTACTACGTTTATTCGATGCCCGCTTGATCCGAAGAGAACTCTGGGCATCAAATTACCATTCTTGGTTATGATAATTAAGAACGTAGGCCACCACCTTGCTCCTGAAGGTGGACGTTAATCATTTTCATTCTCAGTTGAAGAAGTACTTTACCTTTGAAGTTGCCGTGCTCGACGATAAGGGCATTCGCCGGAGATTCCGAGCATCTAATTATCAGAGGACTACTCGAGTGAAGCCTTTCATCTGCACGATGCCGATGAGACTCGACGAGGGCTGGAATCAGATTCAAGTTAGCTGTTATATGACCTATTATATGTGATTGCTTCCTCAGTTCAACCTGTCTGACTTTACCCGAAGGGCGTATGGTACCAATTACATCGAGACTCTGGCTATCCAGCTCCACGCTAATTGTCGCATCAGGAGGGTTTACTTTTCGGACCGACTTTACAGGTATTCCTTTTCTCGTCTGACTCAGTGCTCTCCGATGATTGTTATTTCAGTGAGGAGGAGTTGCCACCAGAGTTCAAGCTCTTCCTACCCGTCCAAAAGTCAATCCCCAATGCGGCTGCCGGTTCCCCTCAAGCTACCATAGCTACCCCTCCCCCTCCTCCACCTGCTGCCCATGCTGTAGCAGCACAATAGACGATATGCTAAGGTCTGCCTGTGGGAGTATTTAGTGTAAGTCCATGGAATATCGTACTGATCGTGGACTAGAGACTGAGATAATCGATTGTACTATCATTGCTGTTGTGTTGTTAAGTTCGTACAGAGGCGATCAGCTCTATTCCCTATGGGATCCTTCTAGATATCGGTATGATCGATGGGATCTCTCTCGAGTAGCACAAGTTTTAGAATGGGTAGTGGGGTATTGTCCCTTCGCGACAAATCATAGTTGCTCGAGTGCCGTTCCTTCTCATTATTGAACAGCACTCGAGCCGTTCTCAATAGGTCATCTTATCCTATTCGTGGAAGGTGAGGGATTCATCGAGTTGTTCCGTACCAAAGTTATACCATAGGCTTAGCGTTTTCCAGGACTCGTTTCCGGTTAGAGTTGTGACACGCTGGGATGCTTCGTGAGGTTCCGATCATTACGACTGTTGGAGATATTCCGTTAGGGTTGCTACCGGCATCTCGGGTATACCATTGAAAGGCTGCCCGTGATAGCTCATGTTCAAGCTCCAAGCTGAATTCGAGACTTTCCCCTCTGACGGGCGGTAGTGAATCAAACCTCCTTTCCCCATTGGGCGACCCGTGGGACGATTCTCCCGATTCGAATGTTCGTTTCTCTGTTCATTCAATTAGGGCCATGTTCCATTTGGAAGATTGTTGTGTTGCTCCACTGAGTTAACTCAAGTCGAATTCCCACTAAGAACTGCCCTCAACGAGAGCCAAAGAAAGCTTATCAGCCAATACAATGCAGGTAGTTGATACCCAATCATCTGCCCAACTTTGACAGGGTGCTCGAGGGGCTTCTGTTTCGTCAATGGACTTCCCAAGAAGCCTCATGACGACAGGGACGGCGCCCAGAGGGAGGAGCTCGAGTTCAACCACTTCCCGAAGGATACGCCTAGCCAACGGTGCAGTATGACGGGCCGCAGTTACCTCGTTGATCAACGGTTGAACTAATTTGTGTACAAATGGAGGAAGACCCAACCATAGGGGTGGGTCCACAACGATTGACAGGATCAACACCAAAAAAGGAATTCGTGAACAGTCGCTTTTGGAGACGATGACGTTTAAAGCGGCTTCTTGAACGAGGGAATCTCGAGCCTCCTCAGAGAGAGCGCGAAGGGTCACCCAGAGCGTAACAGCACTAACGACGACGTGAGCTGGGCAAGGGTCTTTCTCTGAGTTCATAGCGACCGTCTCACAAGCGGGGACGAGTGAGGCTTGAATGAGTCCAGCATCGATTCGACTTCCCGAATTGAATCCAACCAGGAGGAGCTGAGCCCATTGGATGAACCATTGAGCTCGCTCTGTATCCTCAATAGGGGGTACCACAGGCAGAGTAGAGGACGATGAAGGGAGAGCAGAAATCGACAACAAATAGGCGGTGCCGTGAACTCGTGATTCAGACATCTCAGCAAGAGCTATGACGTATGGATCAGGATCAGCACAATGATGGAAGGAGGCTTGGGTGCACACCTTGAGCAGTACAGGGATCACAGGGCTGAGCACCTCGTTACCACTCGAGCAAAGGCGTCTGGCAATGTCATGAACACACGACCTCAACATTGATACCACTATACGGCTCTGTGTCGCGTCGGTCGAGCCGTTCATAAGGCAATGGCTAAGTAGATGGAGCAGACCATCGCAGATTGAAGCGTTCGTGAACGTAGCAGATGAAAGAGCTGTAGAGGATAGAGCCTTGATAATAGCCGGACAATTGGCACTCAAGCCAAGGCTCACCCCCGGTACTGTTGCTATCAGCTTCCTCATTGCGTGTATGAGTTGTTCTGATTCCTGCTCAATTGAGCATGCTCCTCGATGTAAACACCGAGAGGCGACTTCAACTATACGACGATCACGTTCGAGCTCAGGCTTGCGGCTTATCAATTCAATCATCACGTCCATCAGTCTACGACAGGTCAGAGCATCAACGCCGTCAACGTCAGCGGCCAAAAACACAATAGTGTCAATGATCACTTCAGTGCTGTGTAAAGTGCATTCCTCGGCCTCCCACGAGAAGCTCGTGCTTGACAATAGCTCAATAAGACAGGCTCCCTGTGGCGATTGATCGACTGATGCATGCAGGCTCGCCAATAACAGAGCGACATTGAAATCCATCTCCGATCTGTTGAAACTACCAGTAGGAGCCAGAAGGGCCTCAATATGGCCACCACACTCGTAGACATTGAAGAACAGCCATGCGAGCAGACACACAGCTACGCTCCTATCTAGCTGTGGGGACATGGCCAGAGCCAGCTGCCAGTGAGTGGCAGTAGGAAGGCGAGATACGCCTTCCAGGGACGATGACAATAGCCCGGCAGGTAGGGAGCCGGTGAGAACTAACTTAGCGAGTCGGCCACCACCGTCTACACTCAGAATAGCAAGTCGTAGTTCTGGAGAGTTTATGAACAGTTTTCGGATCTCCGGACAAATGTTGTTGTCGCTCAACTGTTCGACGAGTTTAGCACAGAGAGCAACGCCCTCCTTAACAGAGCGGGCGTTAGCCGAGGCCTCGAGTAGAGTATGGACCACTTTAATTCCCTCATCTGGGGGAAGGGAGGGATGAAGATCAATCGCTGCTCCGAGACAGGGCATGACTAAGGCGATGTCAATACCGCTGCGGACTGAATCAACAACACTAATGAGCAGCTCCGTCGCATCGACAGGACTGTTGAGGAGGCTACAGCAATCAGCAGCCATCTGGAGGATCCTGTGGCTCCTCGGAAGATGATTCATACGAGCCAGGGCAGCGCCAGCACGTATC